TTGTTGTTATGCCTTTTGGTAGGGCAAGGGGTTCTAGCGTTGAGGGTTTGATAGATTCTCGACTGTACGACTTGTCGATTTTCTCTCTTCTAGTTACGCTCCCGTTTTTAAAGGATGTGGGACTTGCAATCACCGATGATCTTGGCTCGTGTTTGAGAGTTGCCACTTGGGCTTAGGGGTGTGTGAAAACCTTCGCAAAGGATGGTGGGATTCAAGGCTCGAGGATACCATAGGATGCCCGTCCATTGATTCGGGGTTGTCAAAGGTTGACATGAGGTCAACACCGATTTCATCTGACAGACACATGAAACCGCAAATCATGCCTGGAACAAACAACCAAAGAAACCTTCTGTCGAACAAGCGCTCCCTATAACCCCAGACACCAAAGCCGTGAATCCCAAACCCCCGCGCAAAGAGCCGCACGTGTAGACGATGCCACTGGAGGGGCCCTGCACAGGGAAAGCTTCGACGACAATTTCACCGGAGTGCTTCTGCGAGGATTTCGGGTTTTGTTGTCAGTAGGCATTGGTGCCATGCCAAGAAAATCATGGCGGGTAAGTGCAGGGTCAAGAACCCCTCAGTGAGTTGCCTACATGTGCTTTGAAACGACTCGGGAATTCCGGAATCTTCCATTCTTCTGCGCCATGGAGGAGCTACTGGGAAGCTGTTTACAAAACCCAAACCCCTTAAATATCTAAACCCTGACCCTAAACATCCCTAGATCTTACCCTACTGTAAACCCCAAACATCCCTACATTTTTACCCTAAACCCCAAACATCCCTGCAGTTTTACCCTACACCCTGAACATCCCTAGATCTTACCCTCAACCCCAATCATCCCTACATTTTTACCCTAAACCTGAACGTAACCTTGAACCCTAAACCCTAAACCCCTTAACCCTCGAGGCAAGGCTTCCTGATCTTTGCTGCAACTGCTCGGAGGCTTTGGCCTGCAAACAGCCTAACGACGGTTTAGGGTTTAGGGAGTTTAGGGTTTAGGGATAATTATGTACTATAACCCTTACCCTCGAAGGACTTATATTTTAAGGCTTTTGGGCCAAAAGACCTGTTTATATCAGGCTTTTTTGGGCTATTTTGATGCTGAGGGTAACCGCAGGAAGGAACCTGAAGAAACCCTGGGCCTTCACGAGGGCTCTTTTCCTGAACCCTTTTCTGTCGGGGTTATGGGAGCCAGGGCTTCTCCGTCAGGTTGCTACATTCTAGGCCCCTTTGCAGAAGACCCAGGGCCAAGGCCTTAACCTTAGGTAAAAAGAATCCCTGGGTTTAGGGTTTAGGGGTTTAGGGTTTAGGGTTTAGGGTTTGGGTTTTTAGGGTTTAGGGTTTACGGGTTTAGGGCACAGCGCCTCAAAACGTAAACAGTTAGACTTGAGACACCTGCACTCTCTGAGCCGCCTCTCTATGCGCGCGGAAGTGTACCAAGTAGGTGTCCTGAAATGCTTCAGAATTTGTTCTCCGACTGCATACACTGTAAGGCACGGGGCATTCTGGGATCAGGGGTTTAGGGATTAATGAGTCTAGGAATTAGGTTAGGGAGGCCACCAATAAAAATCGCCATACTTCAGCATCTGAGGAAGCAGTGTTTAGATATTAGGTTGGGCTTGGTAGCATTGACATCATGACAACCGTCGTGTTCAGGCACGGGTGTACATAGGGTTCGGGCTAAGACCCCCGCAGCAAGCATCCGAAACCCCTCCCTAAACCCCTAAACCCTGAACCCACTGGGTTAAGTGGCGTCACAAGTAAAGGATGGTTTAGGCTGCAGAGTTTAGGGTTTTAGGGTAGGGTTTACGGTTTTAGGGTTTATAGGGTTTAGGGTTCAAAACGTTTGCAGGACTTCGTTGCTGCCTGCGATAGAAAGCTCCCTGATCCTTAAGCAGCCTGTCTGCAGCAGTCCTCGTCCATTGCCGGCCTGGGCGAAGGCACCCACATGTCTGCGGTGTCGTTGGACATAAGTAGCAACATTATGCCTGAGGGCTCCTTATTACATATATATATACACACATACTGTACTATATATATATATATAGACAGAGTATACAGTATGTGTAACATGCATGTTATCCCAGAACCCAATTGGGACTGAAGCGCAAGTTGCTTGCTTGGCTTGGGCAGTGATGAAGCCTTGGAAGGTATCGGGTTGAAGTCTTGCATGAAGCTTGCTCGAAGTTCTACGTGACCTGGAAAGGGGATAGCAGAATAGACACTTATGGGCTCACAGTCTTCCGGGGTGGATAGTGCCGGCATCTGGACATCTGACAGCCCGAGGTTTTGGTCTGCGGTGTCGGACAGAGGGCTTCGGGTTCATAGTCCTGTACAGGCCGCACCCATGTGTCAATCTTTTTCCGAGGACACTGCGCCAATGGCGAAGGCACCGCAACACTAGATGGTTGCAAATGCGGTGGCAACAGCAATCCCACCGCACCTTGTCTGGGGTTGGGCATCTACTAGACTCATCACATGGATCGCCGTCATATCTTTCATGGTATGTAGTAGAAGCCGAAAAATTGGAACATCGAGATGCTCATGCCTTTCTGGTAAAGCATAAGGGATCCTAGCACTAACCCTCCGAAACCCATGTTATCCTGTGTTCCAACTTTCTGGGATTCGATCTAGAGAGATCGTGTCGCGGTCCTATGATCCAAAAAAGCGAAGACCCATGTCCTTTGTCCTCAGCATGTTGCTCTCACATCCAACTGCAAGTACGAATGGCATGAAACATTACATAAAATATCGGCTCTGGATTCTACATTCAGGGCTGGTTTTTTGGGGCTGTGAATGCTTCCGATGCATGCTCGACAGCTCTCCCGGGGCAGGAAACAAACGTTGATCCAAAGCCGTAAACCCGTGCACTCAAAGCGTAAATCCCAAACTTAGACCTGTTCCTGTTCCTGGTGCATCAAGGTTAGGTACGCGTTCGGCGATAGGATTGCTGTACAGTCGAAGGTTGCAGCAGCTCAGCACAGCGTGATACCGGGACGCCTCGACACTTTTTGAGGTGCTTTTCATTCAAGCCGCTATAATACAAGGTCTACGGGGTGGGGCTGTGTTGAGAGCAAGCGGTCTGAGTAACTGGACCATGCGATTAGGGTTCTTCGCTGTACTCGTAAACTTGGGATATTACCCGCGGACATCGGAAAGCAGTAGTAAACTGCTAGATGTCCTATGCTTAAGAAGACTTTTTCGGGCCGTTCGCTGTAGGGTGTTCGGTTTCTTGAGGAGGGCAGCTCTCTCGGGTCCAGTGGCTCAGAGGATGAGGATGTGGAGGTTTGGGCTCACCTCTCGAGGGTCCCCTCTATGTATGAGGACTTAGGGTTTTAGGGTTTTAGGGTATATCAGGGATGCTCCATGTTTCGAGGTTCTGTGCTACGGGTTGGTCGCGCCCTTTTCAGCCCGAACTTCGCAACAGCCCCCGAGAGTTGAATCTGAACCTCATCCCCCGAAGCTCTGGCACCCTCATGCCATGAGCCCGAACTCCCACTCTATATATACCCGGGCCCTTAATCTCTTATGCCGCTCATGCTGATCCATGAAGCGCCCGATGGGCGAAGCTTAGACCCTCAACTCTTCCAGCGCCCGAGCTTCAGAAAACCCTCAAACCTTGAATCCTGAACCTGAATAAGAAACCCTGGCCCGATAAGCCCAGTATATTGAGATTCATATTGATATGAATCCTACACCCAGGGTTTCTTAAGCAGGTTCCTGTATTATTCTGCATGGTTTGTAGAAGCTGCTTGCTGCCATGAGGGTCCATGGCTTCGCCCATGATGTTGAAGCAGTCCCCAATGTTTGCTCTGGAGGCTTCGGGGTTTGCGTCTCCCCGGCCCTCCAAACCCTGCACAAACCCAACCCTCAACTTAGCCCTAATATCATCCCATAGGATTTTTGTCAAAGATCCCTCCCCTTATAAACCCTAAGCCCCCCTTATAAACCCTAAGCTAGGCCTTAAACCCAAGCAGGAAAAAACATCAAAAAACCGTCCAAACAAGCTCCGGATGCCACAGCCTTGGAGAGATCCTCTCCCAGTCCTTCCCAGGACAGAACCGAGAAACTAAAGGAGCTAGCTAAACTTACCCTTGTAAGTTACGAACCATAATTTACCATATATTTGCTGAATAGTAGGTATCAGCGGTATAATTAACGACAATACTATGTATCTATCTGTCTATCTATCTGTCTGCCTGTCTGTCTATCTATCTACCTATCTGTCTATCTATCTGTCTATATCTGTGTATATATATAATATATGCATGTGTAGGTTGGAACCCAGTAACCTGTTATTTAAGTAACTGGAGCCCCAGGATTAGCTTCAGGGGGGCTTTTGGGGATTGGGGGGTTTGGGGAGCTCAGGGCTTAGGAATGGATGGGCATTCAGGGCTGGCGAGTCTTGGAATGAAAACACGTCATGAATCTGAGGCTGTCGGAACTACAGCAAGGATTTCTGTGGCTAAGAGTTTAACTCCCTGCCTTGTAAAATTTAGCGCTTGTGGAACCTGGGAGATGGGCGAAACCAAAAGACACGTAGAGTATGGAGGAGGGCGTGGTGGGGATCAGCAGGCGAATCTCGGACGCACGAGGCCCTCCCAAATCCTGAAGATTCGGGCCAGATGGTTCAGTCGAGCAGCTTCTCTGCGATTACATGGCATGGGAATTCTACCTTGAATAGTACGTGATGCTCAAAGGGGGCATTATATGACAAGAAGGGCGGCTTTAGAATCCGAACATTAGATTAGACAAAGTATGCTTGGTGTGACCGTCGCGCCGCGATCATTTTCAAACTTGCAAGAGTCTGGGCAATGTCTGGCGACTGATACCGTCGTGGGAAAACACACAACGACAGGACAGCCAGCAACTGTACAGTGGAAACGCATTCCGTGCCCTTGTCAAAATTGTAATATGCCCTCCGTGGCTGCATTCCAGATTCCCGAAAAGAAGCACGAAGAGTCGTACCATCAGCCAGGATGGTGGTTGGGTGAGCTGAACTATACACGGAGTCGGAAGCTCGCTGGGATCTCGCATTGTCGAAACTGGTTGTCTCCAAAGCAGACCAACATGCCACGATCTGTCATTGCACAGGTGTGGTGCGGACCTGCCGCCACGGCGACGACAGGATCAAGATCGGCAGGAACATCGCATTGGCCATAATCGTTGCCTCCGAAGCAGACGAGTTGGCCAGTGGACTTTACAGCACAGGTGTGCGCGTAGCCCGCTGCCACCGCTGACACCGGGCCAAGGTCTGGTGGCACGTCACACTGCCCATGGCTGTTGCTGCCAAAGCAGATTAACTCACCATGTGCAGTCACGGCGCAAGTGAAGCTAAGCCCGGCTGCCACACTAGAGACAGGGCCTAGATCCACCGGAACATCACACTGCCCACGCTGATTGCCACCGAAGCAAACTAGCTCGCCGTTTGCCCTAACAGCGCAGGTGTGATGTTGGCCCGCAGCCACCGCTATGACCCGACCAAGGCCCGGCGGAACATTGCAACTCGGCCCACGCGAGCCAAAGCAGACGAGCTCTCCGCTTGCCTTCAGGACACAGGTGTGGTAGAAGCCCGCAGTGACTGCAACAGCAGGGCCCAAGTTCGGAGGGACAGTGTCGCCATAGCATAGGAGATCTCCGGATTCCTTCAACAAGCACACGTGGGAGAGCCCTACAGCAATGCATGATAGAGGTCCAGCCAGAGTTGATGGCACACCATCGTCACCACCAACTCCGAAGCGAACCAGCTCGCGGTTGGAATCAATAGCATATGTTCTTCTAGAAGTGGCTGCGACTCGACTTTGGCACTCCGCACCACACTCATACAGCACCGTCAGAAACCGCAGCACAGTGTCTGCCACGTTGTAAGGCAATGCCTGCCCTTTTCGGTGCCTGTGCGCACATAGCCAGCACAGGTGGTGAAGGTCGCGGCCGAAGACGCACAGACGTGGCCCGCCCTGCGGATTGTGCAGGCCTAACAGCTCCATGGGACCCCGCAGCTCACCGGCCTTGCTTGAGGCGAAAGAATCATGGACGTCCGTTCTTGCAGCTATGCGACAGTGCATGAGGTGCACATGTAACTAGAAGCCATGTGATGACGGCATCTGCGTGTGGCACCCTGCATCAAACTAAAAACCGAGTCCTCGCAACAGCAACTTCTGTGCAGAACACCCGTCCGCTTGGATGTACAACCTCCGCCCTGTCTTGCAGCACCCAAGCAAGCAATTTAGAAGCTGCCTCCTTTTTGGGGATAAGAATAGACCCGACTATGCGCACCAGGGCTCACGTACTGGCTGAGGGCGCTGCAGGGTCCACCTACAACAGGCGACAACGCCATCAGTCGCAACTCTCAGTCGAGAGAAATTGGGTCCAAGTAGCATGAATCATGAAAGCCTACAGCCCCAAACCCTTGCAAGGCCTGCACAGCCCATTCCAGAAACCCTACACCCCCAAGGACCTCAGCATTGAACATCCAAGCTGCAGAGAAACCCTACCAGCCTCGACTGGCAGCAGAATTGCTAACAAAAACGGCTGACAAGGGTGTTGACACCTTGGGGACACCCGAAAAAGATGTGGTTCAGTCAGGGCGTTCGGGGTTTAGGGCCAAAGTTGGGGGGTTTGGGAGATGTCAGTTCCGACAATTACATGTTCACATGTGGTTGTAGATATAGAAAGAAACTTGCCGCGTACTTATGGGGGTCATTTCGTCCTAAAGACTGTGGTGCGTTTCGCATTATCGGATGGCATGCGACTGTTGTGATTGATGAGGACTGTAACGCTATGAAGAAGAAGCAGATGTCGATGACACTTGATCGACGAGGAAAGGCAACGATGATCCTGATACTGATGACAGCGGAAGTGATGTTGACCTGCTGTTGATGATTGTATACCGGCAGGCTCCTTAGTAGTTCCGGTTTGGGGTTCCTTATAGGATTCTAAATATGAACCATAAAAAGAACTACTTAAGAGCCTATGGGTA